CGAAGCATGCGACATGAGAGTGCCTCTCGATGGCTCCGGACCGCACGCATTTTCTGCGACTCTTGTACAAAACGGCACGAAGAATTCTCACTTTAAAACTACCGTCAGCGTCTGTGTCATCAATTTGTTTCTTTTCGGGCCACCCTCGAGCCTTTTTACACTTTGCAAAAACCAAGCTTTATAACTTGAAGTACACAAAAACAATGCATCATGTTTTTTTGCAGATTCTGTTAGTACCTATCATTGGCCTTAAATGTAGGAAAGTTAAAAAAAGAAATCGAAAATGGCATTTATTTTTAAATGGAGTTCCAAATTACTTGTAATTATTAAACTGATTCCATTTCAGCTTTTCTCATAAATTTATTTCGCTGCCCAGGACAACCATATTTAGCGGCAATATAAATAAGACACAGGATAACACACTGGAAATGTGTGAAAGTGAGGTTATTTATAGGCGCAAAGAAATAATAATAATAATATGTAAGTATTTTTGCAGAATGTTGCGATTTTTCTTCTAGAAATTAACAACGTCGATACTTAATCATAGGTATATTAAGTCAATCCTCATTGTACATTGTATGTACGTAAATATTTCTAGACCCGCCACCATGACAGTTTTGTTGGGAGAGGTGCCCGAAATGCCAACTTCGCACAATTAGTGGATAGCGCTTCGCACTGAGAGTGTGCTTCTACTTTTTTTCTGCAAAGAGAGCAAAATTGTAAAACGAGTTTAGGTTTTGTTCTGATAGGCATTGAGTATACAAAATATATATATATATATATATATATATATATATATTTTTTTTTTGTAAAAATTAAAAATGGTAACAGGACGTGGTCGGCCGAACTTCTCTGAAAACACGCAGTTATAAACATGAGAACGCGGACGCACATTACTATATATAACCTAGAAAATTGCGTGCTTTAAAAAAAAAAACTAATAGATCTTGTGCGAAATTAGCTGCGCCATCTTGCTAACGGAAAAAGAAAATCACTCGCAATTTTCATGCGTGGTTAAAGGCGGAGCGAGTCAGATCTGCGTGTGTTTGCGACCGTTCCCCTCGTTGCCGTCAAAATTTCTCTGCACTGCAACCTGCCGTTGTGAAAACAACGCGGAATCACGGACAGCAATGGTAACAAAGCATGTGGCACAAAGCTTGCTTTCTCAGCAATAAACGAAGCAGACGGAAAGTGCTGACGAAGCGGTGCGTGAAGTCGCTTCATACTGCTCGTCCGCCGCACCGAGTGTTTTCAGGCACGCCGATGGAGGATCTTTAAGGGTGCGCAGGGCATTGTGCTCGCACGGTGACACGGAGTCTTCCTAACTCGATGAACGTACAGGCCGAATGGAGGCTCTTACTGCAATGTCAGGCCTAAAGAAATAGTAGATTTTTTTTCCGTGCTGGGTCAAAAAAAAGTCAAATTTGGGGGTTTTACGTGCCAAACCTACGACGGGCATCTGGCACGCCCCAGCGGAGGACTGAGGATTAATTTCGACCACCTGGGGATCTTTTGACGTGCAACCGAAAGCTCGGTTACACGGCGCCTTCTCCGCAATAAGCCTCCGTCATATTGCGGGCACCTCGGTCGGGATTCGAACCCGCCACCTGGGAATCCGTAGGCCGGCGCTCTCGCCTCGGAGCCACCGATTCCGTGCTGGGTGACCTCGTGGTTGCGTTAGATGTATTCGATGCAGTGGGCTATAATAGGGTTTTTTAATAACCTCGTCTTCCACACATCCGAACTACCGCGACATAAGTTCGATGGCAGTAGAGATTGGAATGTAATTGCACAGGCCGACGGCCGTGAGGCCAGCACGGAAGACTTAACCTGGGCCAGAAGAACGTGTCGTTGTTTCTTTGCTGTTTTCTGCCCTGGGCTTAGAGAATTAGATGTGCGCTGTGGGCCCTCGGTTACCGAGGGTAGATAGATTGACCAACGCTGGCGACCGAACCTTGCGATCGCGTTCAACCGCACGCGACTGTGCTATCGCGGACAACATGAGCCGAGAGAGTCATTCGTGTTTGTTTTGCCTACCAGCCAGTTTTTGAGGCAGCAGGCCGGTGCCTGCCCATGAGAGCGATCTGCTGGTCGGCCGCCAAAAGAAACAGAGAAAGACGATGAAAACAAATTAGAATGTGGCAAATGTCACTATAGTGTATCAGCAGTGCATCGCAAGACACATGGGTCCAAGCATCCGACCCCCCGTTCCAACAAGTCGTCCCAGCGGGCTACGAAATGCACGTAGAGCGCGTGGAATGCGTACGAACAGTTGGTTGAGCTTATCGTTCACATTCCATCATTGGGAGGTAAAAAACACAGCTGCCGTGCCATCGCACACTGCCCTTACGGTCGTCTCCGATGCCCCCTCCGTGCTTCCAACGACGCTTGCCTACATTAAAATGGCGATGTATTCCGTGTTGTCAGACCACCAAGCGCCTGAGTAGCCAGACATATTCAAGATTGATTGTTTTTTCTAATATTAAGGGTTATGTTCACGCTGGACAGAGCCAGTACCAGCGACAATATTCAAAATATGTGAAACCCCTCCTCCAACTCAACGTGACGTCATAACACTCGGATGGTGCTAAGTTAGATATTGGACCAAAGGCCGGGCGTCCTTCCAAGTACTGACTAGACACGAAGCCCTGCCAGGTGCTGACGCAGTGTTCGTGTTCAATCTGGCTATAAAATTCGCAAGAAAAAGCGGGCGCCTGCAAATCGAGCTCGTTCGAATTTCAATGAAAGGCTGTATATTTGCGGTGCATTTTACCTCTGGAATTCCAAGCCGTAGTTGCCTTCGACTAAAGAAACGAGACAAGCCTTGGAAAGTTCAATGACGGACGCCAACACGGACTATCGAGTTGCGCCGTGCATGTTGTGTTTGGTGTTGCTATCAAAAGATGGCGCAACATGTAGCAAGGACGAAATATTGCGACATACATGCCATGACGGCTGCTGAAGATCAGATTGAAAATAATCTTCGTGCGATGTAAATTTACTCTACAAATAATTACTTAAAAATAGCTTACCACCGGAACCAAGAAAAAGAAAGGAAAGAAAAATCACCAGCCACAATTAGCAAACCCGCCGTAGTGGCGTCTGACATTTGTTTTTCATTACTTTGCTCTAACTGACCCATGGCACCACGTCTCCAAAGTGTAGTTACTACCAGCTTAACAAACGCAGAGTGTGGTGACTTTCGAGTGTCACATGGCACTTTGCAGCCAATCAGAGCGCGCCATTTGCTGATTAGGACGTCGAAGAACGAATCACGGAGCCAGGAGCGTGAACATACTGAGCCACACCCTGCGTTTGTGGAGCTGTCAGCCGTCTCTAGCACGAAATCCAACTCTCAGCGACGTCAATCACCGACTTGTGCCAGCGTCCGTCGTCGAAATTTACGAGGATATTTAGGATATTGAACTTTAACGAAGCTGTGCCTCGAAATTTGACGAAGCAACGTACCTCGCTAAGACGAATTGATGTCACTGATCTAAAAGTATTAGATGCAGCGGCCGATTTTGTTTCTCGTCGCCTTTAATATGCCTTAGGACCAGATGGGAACCCCCAGACGTCAAGATGCAGTAAGGTTTATTCGACTAAGTAGTCCACTGCTACTAAGAGACAGAACGGAATAATTGCTATTCAGAAAATACAATACTACCGTGCTTAAAGGGGTACTGACACCCCGAATGTCCCATTTCTTATTGTCTAAAACGATGCAAGTTGTAGTCATAGACACGCAAAAAAATACCGCATTGCAAAAAAAAAAAAAAAAAAGACATTCCCACGCGCGCGCGTGTTTTTTTTTTTTTTTTTTTGTCATTTTTCTCTCCCGCTTCCCACCTCCTCGCTTCTTTTGATTTGTGATGTTAAATATAATAAAATTTAGAAGCTTTGCAGGCGAAATTTCTATAACATTTAATAACGGCAGTCGTAAAACATATTTTTTAACGCAACTGCGAATGCGCTACGCCCTTGTTTTTGAAATACCAAAAATCGGAGTCCAGTGTGATGTCGCCTCCTGGATTTGTATCCTACCTCGGAAAACATGGCGGCTCTCGATGCATTTAGCAGAGGATGGTCGGTGAGTCAGGGAATAGGGGGAAGTGGGTCTTTCTTAGGTGACCGACGACCTCTCAGACTTCGAAAAGAAAATCGTCAAACGGTCAAAACAACTAGGTCTGGTGTCTGTTTATCGTAGTTTCAGTTGTGACTCCGCCGGGGTAGCCTTTCACGCAGAACCTGTGAGATGTCAAGCGTCGTCTTCTCGGCGCTCGCAGCGATAGGCAGGCGGCACGGCACGCAAGGAGGAAACCGGGTTTTCCCGGTACGCCGGCGCCCTTTTCTCCCGCTCCTCACCTCCTCGCTTTGGGTCGTGGCGGCAAAGGCCTCGGAGCGGAGGCGTGAAAGAAAGTTGACTCGCAGGGCAGCTCAATATTTGACGTCACTGCACTGGCGCGGATCTCGCGGGAACTTCGCATTCGGCATTTGGAAATTGTTTTTTTACTCCACAAATACTGAATTCTTAATCTCAAGTTTCGACTTTTGAGGGTAATGTCCAGGAATCGTTTTCAATCGTTTCGGATTATAAAACATGACACGATTTTGACGTGTCAGTGCCCCTTTAATATCACGTGTCAACTATCAGTTTGTTAAAACAATATTGCAGTCGTCTTATTTAACCTAATTTAACACGAATTGTCGCAATAAAACGTATTTTATTATAAAATATATATAAAAACAATTGAAAAACCTTGGAATTTAGCAGGCAGCTCTTGCCTAGACAATCGTTGGACAGGCTTATGCCTAAATGGTTGCATATTGTTCCATAGTTTAGACTACATGTTATTAGCCGGGATTGGTTTTGTTAGACCCCCTAATGTTGTGCTGATATTTTAACAGGTTAAGTGCATTGAAAAATTGTAATAAAATACTTTTTACAGCCGCAAAACTCACAGGAATTTCTGAAGAAATCAGCGGCTAACAAACTGGGCATGACTTGCAAAGACTTACATTCAATTTCTGAAAGTATACCCGGCATGCGAATGTACGGACCCGACAGCATATACAGCTGGATGACTGCAGGTGGGTGTACTCCAGCGCTTCTAAAATTTTAGTTCTAACGTGTGTCCATCCTTAATGTTTGCTCCAGTTTAAAGACATGGCTGATTGACATGTTGGCTGTTTCTTTAAGTGCAAAACGTAATAACTGAGTTTAGCAAACAGTGGGCAAATGGCAAAGCAAGCCCTTTACCTTCTAGTCAGTATGCTAGACACACAAAGTACTGTTAGCCATTAGTATATTTCGCACTAAATTAAGACGGCCGGGTAGTCCCGAACGCCTCATCTCGTATCACTTTTGCTTCAGCGAAATAGAAAGAAGCCAAAGGAAAAAAATATAAACTGCTTTATGTTATTTCATTTATTCGTTTCATTTATCCTGCAGCTGACACGTCTTTTCTATCACCTATCTGAGTTTGTGGTACGCTTTACCGTCCTAGCTTCAGGAAACATGAGAGGTTCCCCTTCACAAATTCATTCCAGGTTAGAAGGATAGAATAACTAAAGCAATAATTGAAACGATGAAAAAAACAAAGTATAATTACATTCAAATTCTGCCCAAGTGTTTCCACCGCCGTAGTATGTAAAACAGATTTGGTTTTGTGGCTCGCGTTTTAAGCCGATTTATTCTAAAACAGTTTGCATGCACAAATGAGTTTAAAATAAATGAAATAGTATCAGCCTCAAATTGATATTACGAATAATTACCAGCCCAAGAAAATAAAAGTGTCTTGTATATAGTAAAAGAGAAAACGCAAAAAAAAAAAATCAGATCTACGAAATGGTAATAAGTCGTGAGGAAAAGAGTTATTTTGTGCAGGCGTAGAAAAGAAATAGAAAAACAAGTATACAATGAAAAATGCACGAAGAATATAAATATTTCGGTAATGCAGACTCATTTGCATCTTTGTCAGCATTATGTACGCGGTGACTGCTATACGTCGTGGTATCATCCCGGTCTACAATTAGCAACCTACAATTAGTAATACAAAAGATAAACACGCCAAAAATGAAACAAAAGGAAGAAAAAAAAAGCTCTCTCAATTTTGGATTTCTTGATAATGGCCGAAAATAGTTTTGCAAGAATCAAATCCTAAAATTGAAGTTGCTATGCCACTTGATTATAAACTGGGGGACTTACTTCTTGATAACTAAGCATTCACGCAAAATATGCCCCGCCAGAAAATTACCAGTATTTGTGAATAATAGGTGGGAACATATTTGATGCTCCTCGATCAGTTTAAAGTAAAGAAAAATGTTAATGCAATGACTGTAAATTCCGCTAGCATTAATTTACGAGTGAATTTAGTAACGTATAAGGCAATCAATGAAAGCAAGAGTTATAATGACGGAGTCATTTGAAAAGTAAAAAATACGCAAATGGCGATTGGAAGCTTGGAAATAAAAAACGTCAGGGTACTCAGAAATGTTGTTCGGTAATAACAACCTCAAAGTTAGCTTTTTATTTGCTTGCCACGGGAATTCAAATTGCGAACGTCAAGACACTCACAATATTTAAAAACCAAAACGAAAACAAACTTCTTGTTATAAATCCCTGTAATACAATATTACTGCTCTTGTCAAAAAGAAGTCACATGTGTAAATCGCTAACTTTCCTACTTCTTCTTGGCCTTCATACGCTATTAAATAGGGAATGAACGTATTTATTCTACTGTTTCTTTCTTAGTATCCAGTAGGTTTCAACGCGGGTATATGCCAATCTTTTCTGAATCGTATGGTGTCAAAACAAACAGAGATGAGGGGTGTCTTCTTCAGCAAAGCCCTAACTAAACATGTAGAGTGCTTTGTGCTTTCAGCGAAGAAAACATATTCCAGTAGCCGACAATGGAGTATTAAAACAGCTCACTCTGAATTAACGCAACAAGTTAGGCTAGGTAAGAGAAAGTGTTCCTAGGATTCACACTTTTCAAAACCACACCGCAGAGATCCCACTGTCATATATTGAACAATAAAATAACAAGCGCACAAATCTAAACTCCAGAAGGTCTCCGCTAGAATCAAGCTTGTTTTAATGTTGAAAAGCATCAACACCCGGCACAAATATTGTCCGTTTTATAAAAATTTAGCAGTGGTCAGAGAAATTTCTCTAACGGCGGGTTTGGTGCAATATTATTAACGGCCAATCCTTTTGCTCCAGCCTGCTGTGTTCTGTCAAGCTTCTTCGTCTCCGCCAGCATACGATCATCCGGCATTCTCTATTTCCAAACTGTGGAACACTTCCACGTGACAAGGTTAAAGGCTTCTTGGCCAATTATTGTATCGACAGCTGCAATGCTGGCATCAGGTAACTGTGTATTTTAAATATTTAGCCTATTTTGCTTCTTTGCAAATATTTAGAAATACATGTATACTGTTAGGTCAGGCATTTTAATCTGTCTGGAAAAGTTTTTGGAAATAAACCTGTAGATTTTAATTATTAAATATGCAATCGTAACTAATTGATAAGGACTAAATAATGACGCAAAACATTTAACTATTGATTATTGACGTCCGAGATATTGCTGAGGAAATGAACTAACCCAGTTAGTACGTACTTGCTCTCTGAAAAAAACCACATGCTTCTAAAGCTAAAGATAATAGTTTTGAGACGTAAGTGCCGCAAGGCCCGAAAACCACTAACGCTTCGTCGATGCACTTTTTTTTTAAAATATAATGTGCCATGGAAGCTTACCTTCGTAAGCTTCCATGGCCTTAATGTTGCACCACGCCAAAAGCTTACGCTATACCACAACCAAGCAGAATAATAAAAATTTGAAGTGTGGCCTTAAATAAACCAGATGCGTTGAAAAAAGAGCTTGTAGATATATTTTAAACAAGAAAAATATATGTGAGTACAGCGCAACCAATATTTATTTACTAGTGCAGTGTAGAAAGCACTCAAAATTCAGTTTAAACCGTACACATGCAAAAAAATTCAAAATAGTTTCAAAGCACTTAACTTTTAGGCATTTATTAAAAATAAATATGGAATATAGAAAATATATTCTTATAGATAATAATAATCTTATAATAATACGAAAATATAGATAATAATAATCTTTTGAGAAGAGTTTATAACTTCCTCAAGAATAAAATGAATCCTTATTGACGTTGCGCATTCTTTACGAAAACCAATTAAAAAAAAATGTTCAGGTAAACTTCTAAATTCGAACCACTATATTTTCACAAACATTTTTCCTTTTCATCTTTGTATTTTTTTGCTAGATTCATCTAATTTCTTTTTTAGATTACAGACAGCTCTCTGACTAACCGCTTCCTCATTACGTGTTCCATTTCCTTTTCCGTTCCTATCATAACGTAACCCAGTAAGGGAAGGTGACTTAAAATTTTCATTTGTATTACTAAGGGTCACCAGATACCCACCAACTTTTTGAAAGTTACTAGTCACTTTTAGCATTCGGCGATATTATTTACTTTTCAGAAAAAAAAGACAAGTAAAATGATACACACAAAACTGAGATAATTCCAGTAAGATGTTCGTTTGAGCTAACTAAATGATCGTTTAAGATAATCAAAAACTACGAACAAGGACAAAAGAAAAAAACATACATCACGAAGTTTGTATTGTACGTGTTTCTCCTTTGTGATTGGCTTTTTGTTTTGTAATTAGAGCTTTATACGTGGATAGTCTGAAATCTATTCCTACGCCTAATGCGCCAATTGAAAGGAAGAGAACAGTAACACTGCACCCCAATGATGATAACAAGTTTTTTTTTTTAATACAGTGAACTTTTTAGAACCTAAATCGAAGTGGTGCTTTCTTGAATATCAGCTGAACGCAGAGGAAAATCAAAGGAGAGGAGAAAACAAAGACACACACTGCTGGACTATCAACCTTTTTATGAAAAACTTCCTTTTCCTTGACCATATCCGTAGAGGTAACTTCTTCTTCATCTGCCGGATCGGACAGATGATGAAGATTACCTCTACGGATAGGGTCGAGGAAAAAAAGAGTTTTTTTCATTAAAAGGTCGATAGTACAAAAGTATGTGTTATTGTTTTCTCATCTCCTTCGCTTTTACTCTAGGTTCAGCTGGTATTCAAGGAAGCATGTCAGACCAACCAGTTCAGCTTCAGGCCGTCATGAAATATTTTGATAACAGGAACATGTGTGGCACTTTTCAGGATTGGTTTCTGGGCCTCTGGCAAAGCGATTCACTGTAAGGCCAGTAGTTATAGTGGGGAGCTTCCTCTGTTCATTTGGATTGATTTGTTCATACTTTGCGACCAATATTGAGGAGCTAAGCATTGCTTTCGCTGTCAATGGTAAGTCATTTGATCTTTGCATTTTCTTATTAGTTGACATCTATCTGAAAAGCTCGTGGTAGGAACCAAAAGAGCGTAATTATGGGAAACCCAAATTTAGAGGGAAGCCATCAGTATAGCTTTGTAGTCGGGCCACCCTAGGCTAAGTGTTAGCCCTCCATGCTGCAAAAGACAGGAACTAAATGTTTCTGACAGTATTGTAGGCCCGCCCACTTACACGCCAGCCTTTATTCGTTGCGAGATGCGCTTCCACCATGTCTGTGGCTGTAGATTGTTTACACCTTATAGTCATTATCTCTCGCGACGTGAACATTTCCCGAGCTCTATATATTATACTGTCTGCTGGAGAATCAAACAGAATTCCTTAAATTGCTGCTTGGAGTCACATCGATGCTAGATGAGGACGTTGTGTAGTATAGTGCTGTGTTGCGCTGGTTTGATGAAGGCCGGTTCTTAAATGCTCAAAGCCCAGGCGTTTTCATGCACGCAAAATGTGGTCATCAACAGATCGTCGTCTTCTGTCTAAGGTACCACATTCCTCCTGCTTTAGTTTTAAGTAGAAGCGCGAACAACAGCACCGGACGCGTGAGGCAGTATGCCTTGTGTGTCCGAGGGACGCCGCATGATTCGAGGATTTCGATGAGGTTCTAAATGCGTCTTCCGCCGAACTTACCCGCATCGCTGGAAGTAGGGTTCCTTCTGATGAACTTGGAAAACCTAAAGCATACCCCGTGGCTTCGCTAAAATTCTCTTTCGGAACTAAAAGCATCCATGGTGATGGACCCTGGTTACCTATAGACTCGGAAACTGAGTGTCTGAAGTAATAGATGTTAAAGTGAACGGAAATCGTACGATTTTGTACTTCCCTAACATACTAAAGTGGTCTTCCTCGGGAAACAATTATTCCTGCGGACCAAGAGTTTCTGTGGACATCTCGAACGAGGACGCGATCATTTGCCTCGAAATTACGAATGGATCTTCGGGACTTGTCATGCACCAACTGTTGTTTGCGCACATGCTTATTCACGGTTCGTTCTATACTTGGTTTAGTCAAGTCAAGTTCGAAGCAGCCGCTTGAAACACAGTTTAGCTGGTGTCCACTCCGTGATAGTGTCGAGAGTAGTGCTGTAATTCAAAAGAACTCTGGCCAGTCCTTGTTTGTCTGTGCAGCTAGTTGGGATTCCTGGTGCGGGGTCTCTCATCCAAGCTCGCTTGAATAACTGCTCCACTCACTCAGACGCTTCGTTTGATCATTCATGTTATGGCGATGTACCAATGTGCTTCACCCCGTTTATTCATAAAAACTTTTTGAAAGTCTGCGGAAGTAAACTGCGGTCTGTTATTAAAGACAACCTGCGAGGACACTCCATAAGATGTGAAGAGATTACACAGAAAATCAATGGTGCGAGCGGCTGTTGTCGCGTTTGTGAGTAGGATTTTTGTCCACTTCGAGAAGCTGTCCCTGACGAACAGGTAGGGCTGCTTCTTGTGTTCAGTTCAGTCAACGTAGCTTATTTTCACGGTTGTCTTGCCCAATGCCCAAAGCAATCGGTGCAGAGAGGCTGCAACTGGTTAAGGGGAAAGACTGGCTAATTTGTTTTCAGATGCAGACTCTATGACGGGGAAAATGTGGGACCAGTGGATGCGAATGTGCAGTAACCAGTTCCTTCCCATCAAGCCTGGTTAAGATTTCCTTGGACGACCGGAAATGGTAGCGTCCCGGCCTGATCTTTCTACGGGACGGGAACTTGCGCCTCTCCTAGAACAGGAATGGTGTTGCCCGTGTTTGAGCGGATATGCAAGGTCAAGTGTCGGAGTTGCAAATTGCGCAGCGATACATTATATTGTCCATTTAAAATTATGGTTAGAGACGCTCCAGTGTTATGCAGTATTTTCACAGGGTTTCCTGCAAGCTTGAGCAGGACCTAAAAGGCGTCGCCGACACTGTGAGTGCTGCAATCTATTGTATGCAGAATAATGTAGGCCTCTTGGAGACTTTTTTTATCTAAAACTTTACTGCGTCTTGCACACATGCCTCGCTCCGGCAAACTCGAACCACGTGTCCCTTCTTCCAGCAGTTATGGCAAAATTTCCTTTTGTAAGGGCAGTCCTAATGAAGGGGATGATCGCAACAACGGTAGCAGATACGTAATGCAGGAGTGCTTGACGCTGTTGACGCCGGGTTCTTTGTTGGACGCGCTTTCTTAATACTTCCGTCGTGAGGAGATTCATGTTGAGTGAGCTAAAAAGTGTTCTGTTTGGCGAGTTCCAAGCCTATAGGGCGATCTTGCAAGCAGACTTCAAAGTTATCATCCTCTCGATGATCAGGCGTTTGATGTAATACTCCTCCCTTAACCCACACGGCAGACCGTCTTTAGAGCGCGGGACACTAGAGCGCCGACGTTAGAGCGCGTGACACGAGGGCGCTGCGACTGTAGCGCGCTTGACACTAGAGCGCACGTCACGAGAGCGCATGACCAGTTGAGCGCGCGACACGAGAGCGCACGACCAGTTGCGCGCGCGACTCGAGAGCGCACTAGTTCAGCGTCCGACACGAGAACGCACCCCATTTGAGCGAACACCGCAAAATGTGTGATGTACCCACGGTTCCACAGACAGAACAAATTGTGCGACTCATCGGATTGAAGAATTTGTGATTTTCGATTTATTGAATATGCCTTTAATAAAAACTAAAACGGGTACGACTCTTTCTAACCAAGTTTTTACTGCCACCAGAGAAAAGAGGGGACAGGGGAGTGTGCTGGGACATATAGCTACCGGGAAAGTTTGCAGTTGAGTGGAGCAGCGAGTCTAAAATTTCTTCACAGAGCTGCGTGTGCCTCTCGGATATACTATAAATAGTTTACTTTTATCTATATTTGGTTTATTCTTGACAGGCATTGTGGCTCCGATCTATTCTGTGGCTATTTAGACGTCCCTCACATAAGTTTAAATGGTATTCTGACGTCCATGTTCATAATGAAGAAAGTTCACCGCTAAAAAAGTATGAGTAAAAAACTCATCGAAGGAAAGCTCAGCGCAATTTTATCGGACGCATATCTTTCCAGTCTTTTGACGGATACCGAAAAATCCGCCTGCAAATCTATGATAAACAAAATCAAAGAACTAATGAAGCTAGGTCAGCTGCAATATTTGTTCCTGCAAAAATGCAAGCTACAGATATTAACTTTTTTTTTTTTTTTTTCCTGTCAGTTTTTTGGAACACTTCTCGGTTTGTCACGCGCAAAAGTTTCGTTGACTGGTTTAGCACTGTCATTGCTGAATTCCGCGTCATAAATCCCTGCCAATTTACTTAAGACACGCGATGCCCAAACAAGTGGTCGGTCCGGGCTGGCCACTCGCGCTGGACCGGTTGTGCGCTCTCGTGACGTGCGCTCGGTTAAGGTGGTGTGTGCTGGGTGCGCTCTCGAGTCGCGCGCTCTAACGTAGCAACGCTCTCGAGTCGCGCGCTCTAACGTAGCAGCGCTCTCGAGTCGCGCGCTCGAACGTAGCAGCGCTCTTGAGTCTCGCGCGCTAATGTCGCGGCGCTCTCGAGTCGCGCGCTCTAACGTCGCTGCGCTCTAGTGTCGCGCGCGATAACTTCGTGGCGCTCTACTGTCGGCGCTCTACTGTCGGCGCTCTTGTGTCGTGCGCTCTAGTGTTGTACAGCCTCCCACACACGCAACGTTCACAGAGGGCATCGTGTGCAAGAGCTTTTTAAGCGCTGTGATAAAGTCAGCCACGATATCTCCCTCCTCCCGATTGCGTTTTTATAAGCGGAACTATTGTGGAATCTTGATTGGCTTGGGCTTAAAATGCTGAATGAGAGCTTCCTTGAGACCTTTGTACGAACATTCTGTCACTGTTCTTGGAGATACGAGGTCTCGTAAAAGGTCATAGGTCGGTGCCTTAAGCGTCGCAAGCAAGATATCTGCCTTCTTACGTTCCACAACCTCGTTAGCCGCAAGCCAACGTTCGAATCTTTCGATCTAAAGGTCGAACCGCTCTGACTTGCCCAACTCGGGATGCAACTCAAACTTTCAAAAAAGACCGTGCGTCTACTTCTCCGCACAACACTCGGACGATTCGGAAACACATGTTTAGACCAAAACACGCAGTCTGAGTTATGACATAAAGCATTGCAAGCGTGATGTTTTGCATTGCTTAATGTCACAACTCAAACTGCGTTTTTTTTTTTGTCTAAATATATGTTTTGTCAGGTTCATTCGTTGAGCTGCCTCTGTTAGTTGGATTGGGGTGATTGGCTCTCCAAGTTTTGTGCGGAAAAGTAGACGCACGGGCTTTTTTTAGAGTGCATCCTCACCACGTGTGTAATGGCATGGGCGGGGCCTTTTCAAACGTCCCAGCAGTCGAAGGTTCCTCCAGTCGGTTAGAGCTGTGGACCAATCAACCGATCAATAAAAAAATCTGATTTTATTTCACATAGAACGATGGTACCTGGAGCAAAAAGTTGCAATAAATGCAGCTTGACAAGGCCTCAGCTCCAAGATGAGAGTTCGCGTACAGTACGTATCTAACACAGTGAAATATTAACTTCCCTATTTAATCTTATGTACAGAGGTGTCTTTTCCTTTGCAATATTTGACTCAATACGCTTTAATATCAAAAGCATTTTAAAAGGTAGATAATATCAACATAAAGTCATCAAAAAGTCAATTATGACTGAAGTTCTTATAATTCAACGTGTTTAATAAACATGGTAGAAGGAATTTGATGGATGCGATACCATGGTTTGTGCGGGGGGTTGGTACATGCGACTCTTCACATAGCCGTGTGTGACAGGAGATAACATTTGTAGTTAAGTTCGATAATTGTAATAAAACAGTACTTCTATTTTCGTGCTGATTTAAACGATAATAGGAGCCGGTAATAATGTAGATTATGTGCTCTAAGAAACTTAAATTGAGTAAAAAGAGCATCTGTGTGATAAAAGTACGACACATTACGACCAGTCTTAGTGTTTATTTTTTCTTTTTGCAGAGTCAGGATTTTGTTTTTATATATTGCAAGGTAGTGGTACCCCATTACAAGTTGACAATACAAAAAGTACGACTGCACGAGACCATTGAAAATAATTTTCTTAACTGACGGCGTGAAACTTGTACGGTATCCGGACAATGTACCTACAACTTTTCTAGCATTTCTATGAATATAGTCCACATGCTCATTCCGGGATAAGTGGTTTATAAATATAACACCTAATATCTTGAAGGACTTTACTACCTCAAATGCACCCCCACGTAAAATGATATTTAGGTTAGATAAAATTGCCCTGTTTGTACCCCGGAATAGCGGGCACTTTGTTTTGTTTGCGTTAATTCGTAATTTATCTATTTCTGTCCATAGGTGTAGTGTAGAAAACATACGATTCGCCGTATTTTTAATCTGGTCAGATGTATTGTCTTTGAAAAATAATGTAGCGTCATCGGCATAGGCTATAACTGTAGAGTCTGGAATACAATATCAATATCATTAGTAAATGGAAGAAATAACAAGGGACCTAAGAAACTTCCGTGAGGTGCACCTGTTATCACTGTTTTTGTAGATGTTACTGAAGCATTGATTTGTACAAATTGTCTAGGCTCCAACAAGTGTGATTTCAATAAATTGATTGCATCAGCCAGTAAACTGTAGCATTGTAGTTTATTTAAAAGAGTACTTTAATTTACTAGGTCATATGCCTTAAAAAATTATGTATATCGCTCATGTCAACAGTTTGATTTCGATATCACTAATCTTTACTTCTTTTTGGGACAGTAGAGCGGATTTAGTAGAGCTTCCTTTCCTGAAACCGTGCTGGCAATCGGTTGTTAAAGAGAAACGCTCCAAATAGGCGGACAGTTTACCATAAAGGATCTCTTCCAAGCCTCTAGACAAACTATATAGTATATATATTGGACTATAGTTTCCCAACAAGTTAATATCGCCACATTTAAATATCAAAACGACCTAAGCAATTTTCATATGTTCAGGAAATTTATTTAATAACATTGAAAGATTTAACATGATCGTTAATGGTGAAGCTAATAAGTTAATAACAAATTTGAGTGGTTTTATACTCAGGTCATTTTAATGTCCTTTGGTATTATTTAGGCTTCGAAACGCTGATATTACTTTATTTTCGTCAATTAAAGTTAAAAAGAAGATTGCGTATGTTCATAAATATAGCCACAATTTCTTCTTCGTTGCACTCGAAGTGCTGTTGATTAGGTCGACAAAGTAGACATTGAAAGCATTTGCAAGCGACGTACCAGAAAACTTTTCTCCTCGGTGTTCAATTTTAGTTAACATGGCTTTCTGATCGTAAGACTTCAAGACGCAGTTAATATTTTTCCATAATGTCTCTGGCTTACTTTTCTCGATATTGTTAACCACTTTTGTATGATATTAAAGCTTAGCTTTTTTATCGATGCGTTCGGTTTTTTCTCTCGAATGTCTTAAACTTTGACGGATCTTCGCTATCTATGGATTTGACAAATTTACGACACACATTATTTTTATGTTAATGTATTTCAACAGATCATGTTAAACCCAACATTTTTCGGACCTCTTGCCAGGCTTGATGAAGTTGTACGGAACTCTTTTCTTCTAAATTTCGTGCACGAAAGAGAGGTAGCGTGCAGTGAACAGTTTTTTTTTTTTTTTGGTTATCTCGGGGTGTATTTGTTGCCAATAGTTTTTTCGAGCACTTTGTGCACAGTACGGAGACAGGGGTTTGTCACAAAGCAGCGTATTTAAATAAATACGAAGTTAAAAGATAGACTCACCGGCGTCAGCCATTAAGAGGGAGCTGGACGCCCGTCCACCACCGCGAGTGATAACAGCATTAAGGGGTTTTAGTGTTGCGTATTGGAGCAAACGCAAGCGCTGTGCGTTTACGTTAGCGTTGCATGCTCGACGTTGCGCGTGCGCGTCGTCGCCATTCGCGAATCCGAGACGTAGTTTGGGACTCCGCGCACGCTTAGTGTGAAACCCGTAAATCCGCGAACTCAAGCACCGCAACACGGTGCTTGAGTTTAATTATATATTCAACACTAAAACTCAGTAGTGAGTTTTAGTATTGCTTACAAGAGCGCACGCAAGCACTGCGCGTCTGCGTTAGCGTTGATTGTTATACACTGCATGTGCGCCGGAGCCCAAACTACGGTATTCGATTGGCGTATCGCGACGACGCGCATACGCAGCGTGTAGCACGCCAAGCTAACGCACATCGCTTGCTGTTGCTCTTGTACCCAGCACTAACGCTCTTTATTATTAAGTGTGCACGTGAACTGATTATGTAGGCTAGACGACTGACAGTGTTCGACGCAACAAATCAATTGCAAGCCAGTCAAAGTTTGCCTACGCAATTGCTCAAGACAGAATTGTCCTTTCTGAAAGTGTTCTATAGCTTTATTACAAATAATATTTGAATGATGCTCGTAGTTAAACATTTGCAATCCCGGACGAATTGTAACCAAAATATACTTTTTGTATGAGGAAGGTTACATTCATACAAGTTGCTAAACCAATGCGTATTAAATTACTACTCGCTGAGTCAAACTTTGCGAGGATAGGTTTTATTGTTCAGAGTTAACGATGCAAATATGATGCCGCCTCTTTGTTTTCCTTGCAGGTGCCGGAGCAGGAATGGTGATGTTGACGCACCCAACGTGCATCAACCAACACTTCGTTAAACACAAAGGCCTTGTCATTGGCCTCAATTTCGCTGGATCGACATTAGCATTTTTTGTGTTTCCAAAAATCATCGAGCTTCAAGCTATCGCCTATGGATTCAAAGGAAGCCTTCTCCTCTTGGGGGCCATCTCGCTCAATTCACTGCCCTTCACCTTGTTTATTAGGCAACCTCACTGGCTAACGAAACAGCCTGATATAAGCTCTCCAACTGCTATATCACACGCTCAGCAGAACGGAAGCGCTGTCAAAATCCTCAAACACTCTTCGAAGCCGAGCCTCTTTCAAGACTTGCGCAATCTTTTGTGGAATCCGATTTTCTACATCATACTTTACACGTACCTTACTTACAGTTTTTGCTACGATTGTTACAGCTCGCTGCTTGTTGATTTCGCCGTTGACAAGGGAATTTCTTTGTCCAAGGCGGTAACGCTGGTATCCATGACAGCTTTAGCGGATTTTGCCGGGAGGTTACTGCTTCCGACGGCCATTGACCATGGACTCAACAGCAGGGTCCTTATGGCGGTTCTTCTGGCTTTTATGGGGACTTGTTTCTTACTTCTACCTTTCGCGAACTGGTACACATTCCTTTTCATTGTGACCTGTGCAATCGGGTTTGGGATCGGCACGTGTCTTGTGAGCGCTTCCGTTATCATCACCCAGCGCGTAAGTGTGGAGATGGCGTCAGTGGCCTTTGGAGTGGTGTACGGGATCTGCGGAATTCTGTCCTTTGGGAAGCCACCGATTATTGGTAAGTCCCTTTGTATTTCTGAGGAAATAAAATACGTTAGGTGCATTGCCAGCTAGTTCAGTCAGAGTTGTGCCAATAGACACTTTAAAACAATATACGCGCCCTTTAGTAGGTGTTGCGCCGATCATCCGTACCCGGCATCGTTTGAAGACATACTCGAAGCACGTATTGAACACCACAAGGGCTGCGTCAGCGTTCGGCGAGGACTCGGGTGCAATCATGGGCCCCGTGCCCGCGTAAGGGTGACCGCCAATGTTGCTCGACTGAGTTTGGAAAATGTCTATGGCAGAACATTCTCAGACTTTTACTTAAGAGGATACCGCACCTCCCAAGCCCTATGCAATTCCAATGGCAACTTTTTAGTATTTTTTTCTCGAGAACCACCGAACGGATTGACTTGGGATTGGTTTTATTAGAAAGATAATAAAAAACTGAGTAATATTGTGGCGCTACATTTTTCGATTTTTAAGCTTAAAAAGTTTTACGGGAACTTAAAGATGATTGAAAAAGCCTTTTTCTCTCGTTCCGTGCTTCGTAAACATTTAAAAATAAACCGGGGCCTAAATACAAATTTAGGCTCCACAATATTCAAGACCAGGACTTTTTGAATATATCTCTTACAAGATCTTTTTTTGAGAGATTCTCATTGTAATAAAATTTGACTAAGTTTGTAGCCTATCAGAACGTCAAAAAATCCAGCTGTCTGGTGGCGCCATCTATGAGTGTGTCCGCAATACTTGCTCTTGAAATTACGCAATGTGTTGTTGCCCCCGGACTACTTGCATCTTCAAGGTCGTCGGGTTGAGAGTGGGGATTTTGAGGAAGGGTGCCTCTCGAAACAGATTTTTTTTTTTCTGTTTCTTTCTGTTTCTTTTTTTTTTTTTTTGTTTTGTTTGGGGGTTGAAGGTATTTTGCGGGTTATCGCGATAGTGAGTAAATACATCGCCCGAGCACGCCCTTGGGAGGATGTTCCGTTCTTTGTTGGTGTTTTGGGGTCGCACCAATGCAAGTAAAAAGCTTGTTTTTCTTTCTTTGTTTGGCGGTGGAGATATTTAGCGGGTGGGTGAGAGCTCCCTAGTGAGAGCAATCGCCGGAGCGCGTCATTGGGAAGACGTTCCATTCCTTGTTGGCATTTCGGTTCAAGAAAATGGGAGTGAAAGATTTCACGCTTCAAGCGGTCCATGCGTGAGGCCTCAAGTTAGCAAATGCAGGCAGACAAAAGCTACCGAAGGGTCAAAGAGTAGATACTGTCTTACCACTTCTTTCTGTTCGAAATAGGATAGATAAAATTTGATCTGGCGATTTCAAATATTCTGCAGATATGCATTTAAAATGTTTACTTATTTTAAATGTGGAAGAAACATACGTGAGTTCGTCGATTTTGTTTTAATTTCGACATTCGCTTTGCATATCAGCTTGTAGAGGCTGATTCTACCCAAATAAAACAAACATTGCGAAAAAAATTCAGTGAAGCTAAAAACAGAACAAGCTTTTTGGAAGTAGGCGTGACACGGTGCTATTTGGAAGTTGTGCAAGTCGCGCCGAAGATTCTTTGTTTGGCCCGAACCAACACACTCTTGAATCAGTATTTTATGAAATAGAGGCAAATGTATTAGACAGGAACCCGCACGCCTTTTGTTTTGGTGTTCGTAGATTGCACTGTCTTGGCTGCGATGAGCCCTTGGCCGGCTGTTACTCATGAGCGGCGAACAAAAAAATGTCACCGGAGAACGGGCGGCGGAGAAAAGCTCACCAGTTAAATGCTCACTGCAAAATCGACAGATGCAGAGAAAAGCTCATTTACGAAATTTATTATTTTCGCATTGCGGTGTTTATATTTAAAACTCACGTCCGCACTTTGCTCAGCGCTCGCGCGCTTTTTGCGTATTCGTATATTTGTAAAACCAAGTGTTCTCGTTCAGCCCCAGAAGAACAGCTTACTTTCTAAGAAAAATGGGGAAGAGGCAGACAAATCTACAGTTTTGCAGAATGCGAACATATAAAAAAGCAGCAAATGTTTTTTTTTTTTTTGTTAACTTTTACATGGAGACAGGGCATTGCCTCAAAGTTGAGTACTACGACGAACAACAATGTTACCTCCGTCTCGGCACCTGACGACTCCTGGCCCCCAAAAAGTATCAAGTTCGTCTTAGGCCACATAACCGAAGGAAGTCATTGTTTACTACAAAGCAAAAGAAAAACCGAACATAATATTACCGCGTGCGCAGCCAGCCAACCAGGCAGCACGCCCGTAGCCTAACGGTTACCGTGCTGATCTTCCACGCAAGTAGCCGAGGTTTGATGCCTGACCGCGGATACACCTTTTTTTATTCTTTATGTAATGTCGCATTCTGGTGAATTCCAGAACCCTGTTGCTTATTGGAGGTTAGAATGTTCTGCGCGCCGAACCTTCTACGCCGGTTGTTGTTCCAGAAGCCCACGCGTGTAGGTAACGAGCTCCCCGTGGAGAGCCGGAGTCAGTCCCGATCCTGTTGTTTCGCCGACATCGACGCCTTCTATTTTGTTCGCCCCATTAAACGTTTAGTTTTTTTGTGTTTTTTTCAGTTATTCACCGCCTTATCATTTGTCATTCGTGACATTACCTTTATCCTTTGAACGAAAAAAAAAAAAACACTATTTACAAAAACGAGAAACGATCTGGCCATAAACCATGACGTTCGAAAAAGCGGTGTTCTACGAAACGGCTTCGATGAAATAGACCTATTGCTATATTACCCTAGCATCAAGGATAATGCAGCGATTGGTGTTGCACGCGCCACACGTGCTGGCCTCAGCAGTAGTAACTTTTCTAAAACAAATGGCATCTTGCACACGCGTTCATCAATGCTTTATTTTGGTTACTTACTTCGAACCTTTTATACAGGGAAGGCGTGGGCGTGTGGCGCGTGGAACACCAATCCCTGGATTCTCTTTGATGCTTGAGTAATAGAGCAAATGGTCTCTTGCGTTCAATTATATGGCGTTCATTTAAATAACTTTGATATAACAGAGTTCGATAAAATATCGAGAGCAGCGAAGAAATAATGTTGAAACGGTTTGTAAAGGTGAGGTTTTTTCTCCGCATCTATCCAAAGTCTGGTGAGCTCTTCTCCGCATCCGCCGGATTTCCAGTGAGTTTTTCTCCGCCGGATAACAGCGCAACACCGAGAGGCTCACGGGAGAAAAGTTTACCGAAAAACTGTCAGATGCTGAGATAAACCCACTCAAGAATTATACGATCAAGCTTTTAAATTTAGTATTTGCGGCTCTACTCTAGGGGCCCTGTGGGGAACACAAACGGAGATCTTTTATACAATATTCGAAAATTGCAGGCACCAAAATGAATGAAGAAGCAGAAGTCCACAGTTTTGCAGAATGGGAACAATTAACAAAGGGATAGGCACGTCTTTTTCTATAAAGACATTGCCTCAACGTTGATTTCTATGATCAGTACTATGAACAGTAACGAAGTGACCTCGTCATTGCACCTGACGACCACAGAGAGCCCCCAAACTGTGTCAGGACCCATCACACCAGAAATGTTAAGTTCCAACAAATAAAAAAGTATGGAAAAGAATGTTTCTTTTATTTATATACCAAAAGAATGCCATTTCCGAAAACGAAAATCGTCGGTGAGTTTCCACCGCATTCAAAAAGAGGCCGATGAGCTTTTGTCCGCGTCGGTCGGTCTTGCGGTAAGATTTTCTTCTATTAGCTTTTTTTTCCGAGATTTGTGACCTCGGCATCGATCTGAACCTTTTTTTATATTGGAACCGCAGATGATCGCACGGGCCTCAAAGACGATGCCGGTTTTCAGCCCTCACATTTTCACAAAGTGAGGTACCTAAGGTTCTGTTGCGCACTGGAAGGTCACTCGCCCCTACACCGGACATTTTATCAAACGCCGTTTCATTGTATGCGTAAAGTTTCTGCAATAAAATTTGAAAAATTTTCATTGTCCTTTCGTACGACAGACGCCTGGATGGCACGACGGAGGACACACCTGCATGGGGTGTACCCAAGCGGATAGGGTCGGGTTCCACCACGTCTCCCTCCACTAGTCCCAAATTTTTTGTTTTGTTTTGTTAGCAGCGTTTTTTGGCCGGCTATTAGAATTCTTTGTTTAAAAATACTGGCCAATTATTGCAGTTGAACGTTTCGGTCAGGGACGAGCACTTTTTCGATGAAACGGCGTTCGATGAAATGTCCTGAAACATACGCGTTTGCCACTTTGTTTTCTTCGGGGTTATTTTCCCGATTATTCCTTTGCTCGACGACAACTCAGGCACAGCTTTGTACCCCCCCCCCCCCTTTTTTTTCTCCCTAAATAGAAACCGACAAAACTCCTCGATATGTCATATAACTAAACCTACCCTAGCCACAAGCCAGTGGACCCCCTCTAATAGACCGATCTCATCAAGTGTTCGGCACATGCGTGAAGTCGACATAACTTTAGTTCACAAGAAGCAGGCGGCAGTGTCCGAGACGGCTCGTGCCGTCTCGTGCTTTTCACGCCCAGAGTTCCAGCGAGGTTCGGGCACAAGCTGAAATACTAAAGTTCTCTCGATGCATTGCGGCAACGGTGGCGTAGTCAAACTGGCTGGTGAGATGGGAGGCCTGGTTGCTCTGGGGCAGGGGGTGCGAGCGCATCCGCAAGATGCGACCATGTTATGATGGCTGAACCATCCAGGTGGCTCTGTAACGTTCGATTTTGCACGTGCCACGTTCGAATGCAAGCATCTGAAAGTGCGCGATAACAAAATCTTAAAAAAAAAAGAAAAATTATGCAGCTCGCGGTCGCAGAGTCCTATTAAACATTCCTTTCATTTTTGCCTTCTTTCATAGCTTCCGCGAGCACGCATGTTTCACCTTACGTGATATCGAAGCCGAAGCTACTCTCAAAAGCACGTCCTCCTGAAAGATGCGCGCACTGCACGAGCGCGCGTGCTTGACAGGGACGCTGAAAGCTCGCAGCTCGCTCTTGTAGCCTCTGCTACGCT